TTAGTAAAAAGACGGTTGCTAACAAAAAACAATAAAGAACAGGTTCAAAGTATTTGAAACTTGGGACTTCTTTGACCTATTTCTGCATGACATCATTTTAACAAGTTAAAATTGGTGAAGAAAACACCTTTCCACACGGTACCGTGGTAATCATTTCACAGTATGTACGTGTATCAAATCATCATGATGTACACCTTAGACTTAGGTCAGTTATATCTCAATAAAGCTAGGGGAGAAAAAGGCTTTCCATATTTGAACAAACAGAAATAATGGGTTATTACTCTCAGTTCTCAAGGCATCTAATCCCAGTCTGGAATGCCACTGACATCAGAGCTGCAGACACTCAACACATGTGACTGTTAGGAAACAACCAGGCTTCTGCTCTCTCCAGGCAGCCATGTACTCACAGGCTCGGTTCCGGGTTTTGTAAGTACAGGTGTAGAGGCTGCAGGGCCTTGCTAGCATGGACCTCGGAATCTGGAACCTTCTCCACTGTGCCTTGCATGGAGAGGCTTGAAGAATGACCCTCAGGCGACTCATCATCACCATTTTTGGCTTGAAGTCTTGATCAGCTCCCAAGTAACTTGAAGGAACCTAATAACCCAGAGCAAAAGGAGGACAGGAAGAAAAGTCGCAAACAACAGAGGTGGCCGATCACGTGGAAAACATCATTCAGATTATTAGTATGCGGGAGGGGGAGGTAAATACAGCAGGAGTGGAGTGAACCAGGCAGAGGGTGGTAGGAGGTGAGGTCCAGAGGTAGTGGATGCCATATCAAGGAGACACGTAGGCCATTGTAAAGACTCTTTCTCTAACTCAGGGTTTCTCAGCTTCGGCATTGTTGACATTTTGACCAGATAACTCTGTTGTAAAGGACTAGTCTTTGCACTGTAGCTTGTTTAGCAGCACCCTTGGTCTCTACCCACTAGATACCAGTGGCACCTTCCTTCCATTTGTGACAACCAAAAACGTCTCCAGGCATTGCAGATGTCCCTTGGAGAAGGGGAATCACCTCTGATTGGGAACCACTGTTCTAAGAGAAGTGGGAACACAATGGAGTTTTCGGAGTAGAGGAGGGACATACTCTGATTTACATTTTTTTTTTTTTACATCTTTATTGGAGTATAATTGCTTTACAATGGTGTGTTAGTTTCTGCTTTATAACAAAGTGAATCAGTTATAATCAGTTATACATATACATATGTTCCCATATCTCTTCCCTCTTGCGTCTCCCTCCCTCCCACCCTCCCTATCCCACCCCTCTAGGTGGTCACAAAGCACCGAGCTGATCTCCCTGTGCTATGCGGCTGCTTCCCACTAGCTATCTACCTTACGTTTGGTAGTGTATATATGTCCATGCCTCTCTCTCGCTTTGTCACAGCTTACCCTTCCCCCTCCCCATATCCTCAAGTCCTTTCTCTAGTAGGGCTGTGTCTTTATTCCTGTCTTACCCCTAGGTTCTTCATGACGTTTTTTTTTCCTCTTAAATTCCATATATATGTTAGCATACGGTATTTGTCTTTCTCTTTCTGACTTACTTCACTCTGTATGACAGACTCTAGGTCTACCCACCTCATGACAAATAGCTGAATTTCGTCTCTTTTTATGGCTGAGTAATATTCCATTGTATATATGTGCCACATCTTCTTTATCCATTTATCCGATGATGGACACTTAGGTTGTTTCCATCTCCGGGCTATTGTAAATAGAGCTGCAATGAACATTTTGGTACATGACTCTTTTTGAATTATGGTTTTCTCAGGGTATATGCCCAGTAGTGGGATTGCTGGGTCATATGGTAGTTCTATTTGCAGTTTTTTAAGGAACCTCCATACTGTTCTCCATAGTGGCTGTATCATCAAAAAATCTAGAAACAATAAATGCTGGAGAGGGTGTGGAGAAAAGGGAACACTCTTGCACTGCTGGTGAGAATGTGAATTTATTTACATTTTAAAAAGCTCATTCACAGTGCCCTACTGGAAACTGACTAGGATGAAAGAAAGAAGCAGGGAGCCCACTCAGGATAATCCAGGGGCTGGAACTAAGGATGTCACAGTGGACGTGGTGAGAAGTGGCTGGGTACTGGATGTATCTTGGGGATACAGCCCGTAAGATGTGAAAGAAAGCAGTCAGAGATGACTGGCATATGCTTGGCCTAAACAACTGCAAGGATGGACTTGCCACGAACTGATGGGAAGACTGTGTACGGAAAAGGTTTTGGGTGGGAAATCAGCAGCTCAGATTTGGGCATGTGGAGTTTGAAATGAAATTCCAGTAATTCAAGTGAGGAAATATGGTAGAATATTCTACCTCATGGTAGAACGAGGATGAACCCCTGAACAAAGAAACAGAACCCGGCACAGGAGCTGGCGGGGAGGGAAAGATGGCACTCTTACTACTAATTCTATTGGGTTTGAGGTGCCAAGGGGACAGGCGAGAGGAAAGGTCTAGGGAGAGTTGGCAGTGCAGCTCTGGTGCTCGAGAGGTCGTGAGGCTAGAGAGAGAAGGAAAATCCCCTCCCCCCAGGGGTAACAGGTGTATAGAGACCAACAAAATGGAGTGATTAAGGAGGCCAAGAGATGGAGAAGGAATGGTCAAAGGCAACCAAGGAAGGAATGGAGCATGGAAGGTCAGGGGCAAGGAGGGTTCCAGGGAAATCCTAATAGAAAGAAACTTAATTTAGCTAATGCTAGGCTACAATACGTGTAACAATACGTGAGATTATTAATGTCCAGGTATGTGCTTCGGAAAGAAAGATGCTTATCAGAAAAACGTTTATGAATTTGCACCTAGACTATAAACTGCAAAATTTAGCATTACAAATAAACTAATACTCATTATTAAATAGGCCCCAGGTGAACCCTGGAACGTATAAATGTAGAATACATTTTCTCAATAAGTTATATTTTGTTGTACAGGCACAGGAAAGGTGTGACCATGAGCTGGATGGGCCCTAGGGAAGGTAAGCTTTCTATGCTACATGCCCTTTGCTATCACTGATTATATATGCTCTTGGATTTTACTTACACCGTCCTTATCTGCTGTTTTGCAGACAGAAATGTGTGAATGAACAGATTCTAACAGCCTCTGAGAATCACTTGTAGATTGTGTATTTATTAAATGCCTTGGCTCTTCAAATCTGCCTGGTTAAGCCATTTGTACTTATGCAAAACACCAAAAAAACCCAAAAAACAAAGCACAAAAACCTACTAAAGGTTACAGTTGCGTTGAAGAAAAATTCCTTGATTCTTATCAGATGGACCCTTCACTTTCTTGCCTTCTGATTTAGAAAGGAAGACAGCGTTTTTGCAATTCTCTGAAATTTAAATTAGAAGTTATGTTTCCTTATCTTGACTGAGAAAGTTCAGCTTGCTCCTGTCACCCACTTCTTCTCTATGATCCCATATAGGGTTGCCAAAGGTTACATTTCTGTAATTGTTTAGCGCACTGCAATTGCTCCAGCGCACTAATTGCTCCAGCGCACTAATTGCTCCAGTGGAATGATATGAAATGCATTTCCCTCTTTCCATCAGATTTCCTCAATATTCATATTCAGTCAAAAGGAACGCAACTCATTGTATTCCAACTACGAGTGGTGGCAGCCTTTTGCCTGGCTCCAGGGACAACGGGGCAGGCGTGCACAGGCACAGAAATGGTGCCCTTGCTGCTTTCAGCCTTTAGGTGCATTTCAGACCTGGCACTGAGTTTACAATTTCTGAGTGAAGTAGGAAAGCCCTAGAAAGTTGAAAGGTTTTCATTTCCAAAATACTCAAGAACAGTGTAGCTCTTTATCAGGACCCAGAAGGGAGAGTGGGGGCATGGGGCTGGGGAACATTGGTTCACTGTGGACTTCAGTGCAGGCTGAGAACAGAGACCGTTCTGAGGGATGTGCAGGGGCAGCTTATGGGTAGCGTGTGGACAAGCTTCCTTCACCAGAGACTTCCAGCCTCTCTCCATACTCCAACAAGACTTTTAAGCAGCAGAGTGGAGATGACCAGACTGTCAGCAAAGGAAAAAGGGGAAGCAGAAAGCAATGTGGTTTTCAGTGGTTGACAGAGAATGAACTCTACTCAACATAAGGTGTACACATCTTCGTTATCTCCCCATATTTCTCAAGCTTTCTCAGCAAAAAATAAACAAGAGGGAATTACACTAATAACAACGACTTTCCAGCATCCTCTGAGCAGTAGCTTTCAACTCACGCCACAAAGAATTACAGCCACCAACAGCGTCTGTATTTGGTAGGTTCTTCCCCTCTAGCTCCAGGACGGGGCACAAAAGAAAAAGGATAGAAGAAAGAATTGAGGAGTAGAGAAGACTCAGACTTGTCCACATGATATAGCTGCTGATCCCCTGCCCCGGGGGTGGTTGTGAATCCGTCCGTAGCCCTTGGTATAGTCAGGAAGAAAATCAACAACGCAGATATGAGTGAATCCAGTTTGCTGGGCCTCGGTTTCTGAAACTGCAACCCCCTTACTTCCCAGACTCTCTGGGACAGCTGTTCTACCTTTAAATGCACAAAACCGTAAGGGGGTGTAGTTTTCTGGTGACCCTCAGAGCGGAGGAACAGGACTAGAGTAGAGATGGAGCGACTCCCTGTCTCCCCTACCCCCATCGTACAGAGAAGCCCCGCCGGGACTGTGGCCATCCTAGCGGGGCCAACAGCTGTCCCGCCTCCGGGGCCCACTGCAGCGCCTGATCGTGTGTATGAGAGGATCCCTGTTCTCTCTGCTAGCCTACGCTCCCCTGCTGCCCACGCTCCACATCGCCGCCGGACTTTACCCGAACGTTCCCCAGAGCGGGAACCACTCTGTTCGCTACCGGGATGAGAGGCTCATGCGCGCGGCCATCTTGGACACGCCCCCTTGTGCCTAGCCGCGCCCCTCACGCCGGGACACGTCATTTCGCCTATTTACGTCACGTCCCCGCGCGCCCGGCCCACGTCCCGAAGAAGCTTAAAGTCCCGCCCTCGCCACGCTCCCCGTGTCGGAGCCCGAGCCTGTTTTCCACCCAGCTCTGCACCTGCTCTCTGTCCTGACTACGCCCCTGCTGCCATCGCTCCGGGCCTCCGGGCGCGGTCACGCGCCGGCGCGCTAACTTGGGCCCACCCCTGGCCTCGCCGTGGGCCCACTCCTCCTTGGAGCCGGACCATCTTTGTTGCACACCTTAGAACTGTAAAGCCACGCCCCCACGGACATGCCGCGCCCACGTTCACGGTAAATCCTTACACTGCGCCTACACCAGAGCCCTCCTTTCTGTTACGTCACTTGCGTCCCATGCGCTACTCCGTGGCCCCGCCTCTTCATCGGCCTCCACGCCCCTGATCCGAGTCCTTTCACATTCCTCTTATCCTCTGGGCCACGCTCGTTTCGCTGACCCCACGCCGCTCTCTTGTGCCCATTTCTCTGCTTTCCACTCTGGTAATTCCTCTGCCCACCTCTCCCGCAGTCTCGACCAAGCCTGTCTTGCCTTTACGAGCGGCTACGCACCGATTGAGTCCCACATTTTCAGGTCAAGCCTCTGTGCTACGCCGAGGCCACGCCCCTCCCGAAGTGGCCGTCGCTGCCGCTCCTTCCCACGGTTGTCCAAATCCCGCCCCTCAAGCCCGGATTATATTCCACTCCCCTCTGTCCTGGCCAATCCCGGCGCTCCGCCCATGCCGCACTGTACAACCGTGAGGTCCGCATGGATCACGCTAACTCCGCGCATGCGCGATTCCCTGCATTCCGCATTCCGCCATGGCCACTCCCTGGGTTCCCAGGCCATCCCCTTCTGGTTGGACTCTGGCCTGGTCCACGCCTCCTGCTCTCCCTCTGCTGGCCGAGCCTGGTCCTGGGAAGCCGCAGAGAAGCGGGCGGGGCTCACGAATTTCAGGAGAAAGTCGCCCGGGTCTCGGAGCTAGATGTTAGTGGCGTGTATAGGGTGAGACGAGCCTGCGGATCTCTGCTCCACGCCTAAAAATGGATTTTCTTCATATTTCTCCCAGTTCCAAACACCAGAAGTCCAAGAGCAGAAACCGGATAGGAAACGTAACTGAGGACCAACTGGAACTGTGTTCCTACCAGCTTCCCAGCCGACTTTAAATGCTAGCGGGGTGCATGGAGTAAGCACACTCCTCTACTTCCTGATGGATGTCTCCTTCAGACGACTTTTTTAGGTACCTAGTGCCCTCCTGCTGTCTAGGACCTGTGGAGACAACACCACACTTAGATTTCTGCTTCTGGCCCCCTACTTTGAGATTAATTTTCTTTACTCTCTCCATTTACAATTCTGGGTCCACAGGAGAAAAGTGAAGAGGTTATTACCAGCTTTATTTATTTATTTTTTTCCTGTCCAGAAACCTCTGAGTGGGCGCTCCTAGGGGAAGGGCACTTTCCATTAGCCATTCAGTTATTCATTCATTGAAGTCATATTTATGGAGTACTATGTTCCAGTGACAAGACAAACTTCAAGGAGCTTTATAGCCTGAAGTTCCCCAGCTTGGGTTTGGATGGGCCAAGAATTGATGAGAAAGTTAGGGAAGATGTGGTAAGGGGGTCGGTTATAGGTGGAAAAGGACTTGGTAAGTGCTGGTCTCTTTCTTTTAAATTGAGGGATGATTGACATGTTACATTTTATTGGTTTCAGGGGTACACATAATGATTCAATATTTATATAATTGTGAAATGATCACCACAATAAGTCTAGTTAACATGCACACATAGCTACAAATGTTTTTTCTTGTGATGAGACCTTTTAAGGTTTACTCTCTTTGCAACTTTCAAATATGCAACACAGTATTATTAACTGTAGTCACCTTTCTGTACATTGCATCCCCATGGCTTATTTATTGTATCAATATAAGTGGAAGTTTGTAGCTTTTCGCCACTTTCACCCATTTTACCCACCCCCACACCCTGCCTCTGGCAACCACCAGTCTGTTCTCTGTATCTGTGAGTTCGGTGTTTTGTTTTTTGTTTGTATGTGTGTTTTTTAGATTCCACATATAAGTGAGATCATATGGTATTTGTTTTCTCTGTCTGGCTTATTTCACTTAGCATAATGCCCTGCATGTTCATTTGGGGTTTTTTTGTTTTTTTGTTTTTTGCGGTACGCGGGCCTCTCACTGCTGCGGCCCCTCCCGTCGCGGAGCGCAGTCTCCGGACGCGCAGGCTCAGCGGCCATGGCTCCCGGGCCCAGCCGCTCCGCGACATGTGGGATCTTCCCAGACCGGGGCACGAACCCGTGTCCCCTGCATCGGCAGGCAGACTCTCAACCACTGCGCCACCAGGGAAGCCCCATTTGTTTGTTTTTGAGAAGCACACTTTTTCTTGATTTTTAGTCCCAACGGAAATCCTGATTCCTCATCATAATGATGCTATGAACTAAGTAGGAAACAAGTGTCATGAAGTGTAAGTGTCATAAGGAGTTTCATACAGATCCCCTCAATGTAAACTGTTGCCACAATCACAAAGCACAACTAAATCAATTTTATGTCCCACCCAAACTTTCCTGTTTATTTGAGATCACAGGCCCTCAGTGGTATGACTTAGCCAGGGCAGCATTTAGATCATCATTCCCCACGATGGCAAGTAAGTTTTAGCTCACATGTCGACTGACTGAATAACTGCATTGGGAAGTTTTGTGGCTGAGTCCAGGCTCCGAAGGAAAATGTTCAGTAATAGATTAACAATGTCTGTTGTGGGTCCAGGATGGATGAGTGGTTGCAACAACCTATCTGGCATCTCTGATTTGTAGTAATAGAGGTCTTGCATGCGCGTCTTTTAGGCGGTCTTCAAAAACAACATTTCGTACTGTAAGTTTTTGATGTTTTCAGACAGTAGAAAGATCAAGGTCACTGTCACTGGCCAAAACTTAAGGGCAGAAACTTTGATGTGTTGATTACTTCATATGTTTTGTATATCAAGCAGAATGAGGGTAGCTTAAAATTCTGTTATGAAAATGAGAGCATCTAACCTGAAAGATACATGGCCCCTCTACCTCTTTGTAGAGGTTGGTAAAGGCGGTACCTATTGGCAGGGCTAAATGTGACTGGGTGGCACTAACTGGCATCCAGATATAAGATTAAGAATGGAAAATACTACTACATAGAGCATGGTTACAATAATCTTTAGCCTAGAAAGAATATCATGACTTGTCAAAACTGTGAGAAAACTTTTTTTTTAAAATTAATTTATTTTGGCTGCGTTGGGTTTTCATTGCTGGGCACGGGCTTTCTCTGGTTGCGGTGAGCTGGGGCTACTCTTCGTTGTGGTGCGCGGGCTTCTCATTGTGGCTTCTCTTGTTGCGGAGCACGGGCTCTAGGCATATGGGCTTCAGTAGTTGTGGCACGCAGGCTCAGTAGTTGTGGCTCGCGGGCTCTAGAGAGCAGGCTCAGTAGTTGTGGCGCATGGGCTTAGTTGCTCCGTGGCATGTGGGATCATTCCGGACCAGGGCTCGAACCTGTGTCCCCTACATTGGCAGGCGGATTCTCAACCACTGCGCCACCAGGGAAGTCCTGAGAAAACTCTTAATACAACACCCAAGCAAAGTTGGAAAGAGTTAAACATTCAGGAAGAAACGTCAGTAAAGTCTTGTTTTTACTACATGGGACTTATTTTGTTTCATTTTTAAAATTTTTATTTATTTATTTTCATTGAAGTATAGTTGGTTTACAATGTTTTGTTAGTTTCCGGTGTACAGCAAAGTGATTCAGTTATATATATTTTTTCAGATTATTTTCCATTATAGTTTATTATAAAATATTGGATATAGTTCCCTGTGGTATACAGTAAATCCTTGTTACTTATCCATTTTATGTATAGTGGTGTGTATCTGTTAATCACATACTCCTCATTTATCCCCCACCTTTCCCCTTTGGTAACCATAAGTTTCTTTTCTATGTCCGTGAGTCTCTGTTTTGTATAAAGATTCATTTGTATTATTTTTTAGATTCCACATGTAAGTGATACCCTATAACATTTTTCTTCCTCTGTCTGCCTTGCTTCACTTCGTATGATATTTTCTAGGTCCGCCCACATTGCTGCAAATGGCAATATTTCATTCTTTTTTATCGCCGAGTAATATTCCATTGTGTATCTATACCACATCTTCTTAAGCCTATCGTCTGTTGATGGGCACTTGGGTTGCTTCCATGTCTTGGCTATTGTAAATAGTGCTGCTGTGAACATTGGGGTGCATGTATCTTTTCAAATTAGAGTTTTCATCTTTTCCGGATATATGCCCAGGAATGGGATTGCTGGATCCTATGGTAGCTCTATTTTTAGTTTTTTAAGGAACCTGCATACTGTTTTCCATAGTAGCTGCAGCAATTTACATTCTACATAGGACTTATTTTAATGTATTGGTCTTCATGCAGATGAGACACTCAGACAGGCGCATACGCATCCTGTTTATGAAACCGTCCTTTAAATTGCTACCTTAGGAATATAAAGTTGGCAGAATTACACTCACTCAGTTTGTCTGAATTAATCTTCATTTCCAAACATTAGTGATTAACTTTCTCTGAACTAGAAAATTGTTACCCTGTGTGAAAAAAAGGCAAGGTTCATAATGGTTACAGTTGTTGATTAACCTACAAAATTTGATGAGCCTTCGAATATCGTAGCTTCAGATTTTTTTTCTCATCTTGAAAAGGGCATAAGGTATGGGAGTGGAGACAAAAATTTTCCAAAGCCCAGGGTTCCTTGTTTATCAAAGATACTGGGAGTTGTTTTTCTCTGGCTGGGAATGTCAAAAAAATTGCAGTGTACCTCGTGATACTTCATTTCCACAGTCTTGAGCTCCTTAAACTGCCCATTTATGATTCACATAAGTCAATTCAGTGTTATTAAATTACCAAATATTCATGGGCCATGAGAAATGCAAATGGAACCAAATATAGTCCCTGCCCTCCAGAAGCTTAAAATTTGTAGGACCCAAAAGCAAATCATGTTGGCAATAGATCCATGTACAAATGCGAACAAAATGCTATGGGAACACAGGACAAAGAGAGAATAAAAAGTTAGTAGATTAGACAAGTCCACAGCAAATAGTAACAGCTAAAAATCTATAACAAAAAGAAAAGAAAAGAAAGATTCCTCGAAGGAGGTGATCATTGAGATAGACCTGTAATAGTGGTTAAGATGTTTAAAGATAAAAAAAATGAAAGCTCACAGTGTTCAAGGTTGTATAGGTTTACAAAATACCTGTTTGTGACAGTGAAACAGAACAATCAGCTTCAAAATTTAAAAGCTACATTGGTTCTCCCTGCTACATCTTGTTTTATTGCAGGTAAATGGAGCATACATAATCACCCACATGCGTTTACAACTCTGATGTACTTTAAAAGGCATCTTGTGTGAATCAAAAGAACAACTCACGTGTTTTCTTTTCGTGTGGTCTCATATTTAATTCACCCTCCAGAGCAGTAGATCAATAGTTATGTGCCAAGAAACTGCTTTCCAGTAGTGTTGTGGAGTAGGAAAAAGCACAGAGAAATCAATTTCTCTTTCCTGTCTCAGGAGACTCAGTGCCTTTCATATTGCTCACGGCTACAGTAGTCTCAATTTTTTATCTGCGTTCTCTAAACTCTAAACATTGGCAGTAAATAGGACCATATTCAGGATGATTGAAAATGCTTTATTTGCCATCATTACCACTGTTACTGATAAATTATTAAGCTCCTATTTGTGAAATTGCTGAAATGAGCATTGTATGAAGCAAGTTTGATATGAATTCTCTGGAGGTTTAATACTTAAAATTGTGCATGAAAATAAAGGCTAAGTATGTACAGGATTTTGAAAAGTGGAAGAAAAAAACCCAATATGTTGAGAGGCAAGAACAATAGCATCTAGTTCTGTGTTCCACGTCTTTTATTGAACTCTCAAGCTCTTTAGCTGTTAAATCATTTTTAGCATGTTCCAAGTGATCCAGACCTTGTAAGAGTCTTCATATTTTACGTCAAGTTGTTGACGGTGTCTTGTATTATCATTATATGTTTTCTCTCTCTATTCATCTGACAGGACCTATAAAAGTCAATATTTTAAATCATTTCATTTTTGGCTGCTGTTTCTTTTGCTAATGACAAGTACTCTTCTAAGCAAATACTGGGGTATAGAAAAATAAAACTGTAACTATAGACTATTTAGAAAATAGAATGAGATCACTGTACATCTGTACTTCTTATGTCATGTGGCCAGAACAGTAGTCCAAGGAAACTTCATAGCCACAGATATTTTCACATTAGCTGAGAAAGATTAAAAATAAATAAGCCTACTAGCCAACTCAAGAGTTATAAAAAGAACAAGAAAACCAGTATGACAGAAAGAGTAAAGACTTAATAAATGTAAAGATGGATGAATCAGAAAGCAGAAAGAAAGGAATTAAAAATTAAATGAAAGATCTTGTTGTTTGATTAAACAACAACAAAAATAGGTAAATTTCTGGAAAGAACAAAGGGGAAATGAGAAAAAATTAATATATAACTAGAAAATATAAAGGGAATGTAACAGTGAATGGAGTCTTTTATGGGAAATATTGTATAAAGTCCATGAGAAAACTGGAACATCTTAATGAAATGAATGCATTTCTTGGATACTGTAAACAGCGAAAAGGGACTCAGAAAGAAATACAAAACCTGAAATTACTGGCAAAATAAGAAAATTTTAAAAGAACTCTTCCTCCGAAATATGTATGGTCCAGAATCTTCAACTCTGAATATTTTATTTCTTCTACATTTTCAAGTATTTGTAAACATAGACAATGTTAGAAATCTATCTGTACCATTTTCAACATGGTAATAATACGAGGGCTGGAGAAAAGAATCAGCGCTTGAAAAGGAACCTAAATATTCTTCTACAAAAATGGATTTAAAAACCTAAAGAAAGAAAAACACAGCAACTAAGTCCAGAAGCATGTTAGAAATCATCACACTGAGCTTATCTAAGGGTTGGATCAGTGTAAAGAAATTTTAAACTATAATGTACCAAGTGGTAAAAATTCTCGGATCATATTAATAGATACTGAAAAGGCAGGTGATACAATTCAATATAGGTTATTGAATACAATTCAATAAAGGGAATTTTCAGTAAACTAGGAATAAAATAAATTTGATATATCTCATGATCTATCAATTTTAAAGTGACTCACCAGGGAATTCCCTGGCCATCCAGTGGTTAGGACTCCGCTCTTTCATTGCCGAGGGCACGGGTTCGATCCCTGGTCGGGGAAGTAAGATTCCGCAAGCCAGACAGCGCGGCATGCACGCATGCATGCATAAATAAATAAATAAATGAAAATAAAGCGACTCACCAGATCCCGTGGAGGGCCCATGTGATTGCCACCGTGATGTTTCCCTGTTCCCATAGGGCCACTACAGTGAGACAAAACAACAATAACATCACAGGAGAACATACAAGAAGATCCAAGGCTACGGAAGGTGTGTTTCAACTATTAAAATATATTCACATTTCTCGTCCATGCGGGTAGTAGTATGGGTATTTTGTACTTTTCTCTTTTTGCCTCTCTGTATTTTCTGTACAGAACTTCTTTTTTCTATTGTTTTTAAAAATGAGACAACAAACATTGAGAAATCATAATTCAGAAGAGAAGAGATTTTCTTCTCTTTTCAAATGAGTGGCTTACACTGACAAAAACTCAGCATTTTACTGTCTTCAAGCCTTGTCACATAAGTGACTAAGTAAAAGCAGAAGAGAGACATTTGATATATTTATGAAGTTTTAAGGCGAAAAGAAGGCTGAATCAGATTTCTATCTTGCTAACACAGCTTTGTTCCTTGATGCAAATAATCAGCTTTGTTACGTCTCTGTCTATTCCCTCCCTGCCCCCAGGATGCCTTTATCTAGTCTAACATTTCCTAAGATAACTTCATCTAGTCTGACTTTATTTTCAGGGGTCAGTTATGCGGGCCCTTCCTTCTCGGAAATTTCCATTTCATCTAACAGTGAAATTTCTGGAATGACTACTAGGCTAACTTTTGGCCACTTCTCTCTCTAGTACAACTTTTCCTGAGTCTGTGCCCTGGCAACCAAGGTGAAGGAGATGAGGGAAAGCTCCTTAAGTGGAGTTAGCCAACAGCAGTGGGTCATCTACGATAAGCTATCACCCTAACCAGGAAGGGGAAATGAGAAGTGTAGCTTGTTGATATTTTTCTTGTTGCTGCTTTAAAAATCCAGATTGTCCGTTTAACAGCGGGGTCACCCGATCTACTTTTTCCATTCATGGTTTTCAAGCAACGAGGTGGAATGTGGGGACTGAACGCATGCAGAGGCGGCGTGGTAGAGAGGAAAGTCCTGACACTGACCCGCTGGGGGGCTTGATCGGCACCTGTAGAATGCCCACTAGGGGAAAGGTTCTTCCCCACTCACTGCCGTAGTCCTCAGAGCATCTCTGAGGTTTCGTTACAATTTCAGTTTTGATCAGTGATGACTCTGAGACACAGTCGGGTTCAGTGTGGTGGAGATAGGGTTCAAGTGTAAGTCATCCAGGCTGGTAAAGTGACACCCATTCCACTCCCTGTTGCCAGCAATGCCTTAAATACTGGATCCTCGGTTTCCTCGTATGTAAGATGATTATACCACAGCAACTGTGGGCTGCTGTTTTGAGGATTAGAGAAATAATTCAGCAAAGCTAGTTCATGGTCGGTAGCTCCTAATTACTGTCGTGTAGCTGCACTGAGCAATGTAGTTGCTTAGCCACATGTTTCTACTTAAATTAAATTAACTTAATGAAAGTTCATTTTCTCAGCAGCACTAGCCCCATTTCAAGTGCTCAACAGCCACCTATGCCTAGTGGCGTCCATATTGTATACATAGTGTATAGTGCAGATATAGAACATTTCCATCATCACAGAATGTTCCATTGGATCGCACCGCTGTACATCATTAACTTTTGATTTTACACAACTACCAGAGCTTAGCGCTGAGCAAAACCATTCTCTTTGAGTTGGAAACTCTCCTGAATGTTTACCTGTGGAGGTGAGAGTCTAATGAGGCCAGTCTTGGAAGGGTGTCCTTTGTTCACCAGAGATAGAAAGGAGTGATGTTTGTTTCCTAAATTAAGAGAGTCTATCTATACGCCAGAGATATTTCAGCCCTGAAAAGATGGGAAGATCATGCCAAGGTAAACCTCCAGAAAGGACTAATGCTTGCCACCGTGCATTTAACCAGACAACAACAGAAGAAAGGTGGGGGGAGGATTCCGACTTTTGGGTCAGCAGAGAAAACATTCTTTGGAGGTAGAATTTGGAAAGGACAGCTAATCTGTTTTCCAAACAGATTTTTGTAAATAACTGACAGGAGATGGGCTGCTTCTCTCAAAGTATTAACCCAGATGATGGGGGTTAATCATTAAACCTTTTAGTTGGTGGCTTGCTTGTTTGTCTGATATTCTAATCCGGGTCACAGAATGGCTAAGGCAGCTTTAAGCGAAGGGTGGATTTTTTTTCCCTCCGTTTGCCTTGTGTTTTCCACTTTGAAAGAATGTTGTGGCTGCTCTTTTTTCTAGTGAGTGCTATTCATGCCGAACTCTGTCAGCCAGGTACGTAAGCCTTGAAACTTCAAAGTAGATGAACAGTTTTCTAAATGATTGACAAGTCTCTGCCTGAAAGCCTTCTTTATTTTTCTAAATCTGCCGTCGTGTCATGGCTTGAAAGTTGAGCCTGTGAATGTTTTATGGGTTTGAAATTAAAATTTCAGCCATTTAAGGTGATTGCAGTTAAACTTCCAGGAGTATCTGGGGCAGTTTACTTGCAATTCTGTTGATTCGAGTTGCATTAAATATTAGGATCTATCAGGTTCCATTTTGGCAGATTTTATCATCATATAGTGCTCTCTCTCTTTTCTCTCCCTGACAGGTGCAGAAAATGCTTTTAAAGTGAGACTTAGTCTCAGAACAGCTCTGGGAGATAAAGCAGTAAGTGAAGAAACTTGTATGTTCCTTTAAAATTTTGTTTGCTGGTAACACTGCTTTCTCTGCATAGTTTATCTTAAACTTGTATAGATTGCTTCTAAAGACCTGAAATCTGATATTTTCTTAAAGCAAAAAAGATTGTAGTGAAATAGAAATTGTTAGTAAAGTGATTTTGCCTGAAGTATTTAATCTGCAGTGTGTGCTGGAAAATATGTGAAGTTCTGTGCTGCCCCAAACAATTTTGCAAGCCTGCACGTTTCAGCCTAGCAGAGTGGAGCAGAGGGGCCTGAGTCAGGCTCTCAGGTGTGCTCTGGGCTCTGCTCCTCACCGTTGTGGTCATTTGAACTTTGTCAGTGACTTTTCTCATCATTGAAAGGAGGGCACATTTCACCCGCATGAGATCTTTCATGGCACAAAACGTTCCAATTCTCAGGTGAGGTTTCTTCAGTTCTTCTCAGATGTCAAAGTAATAGCATGAAATATATGCTTATGAAATTAAAGTTAAAAAAATACTCATGGGGCTCCGGTAGCTATAGGAACAGTAAAGACTGTTGAATTAATAAGATGGAGTTGTGTCATTCTAGTTTCGGTTTTCCGCATGGTCTGTGACCATTTTCCCGAATAGAAGGTGATAGTAAGACGCCTCAAGCTAGAGATGATAAAAGAGTGCTAAAGATACTTGGAAGTACTCAGTTGGCAGGGCAATCCACCGTTTTGTTCGCTCGCTCCGTGAGTAATAACCATTCTAACCGCCAGCATTCCTTGAGAACTTAGTTTACTTTCTAGTTGGGACCCTTCTAATCACTTTGCTCACATCAGCTCATTTAGCCCTCACAACAACCCTTTGAGGAAGGTGGCATGGGTATTCCCATTCTCATGAGGTGGATGAGAAAACTGAGGCGCAGAGACATTACGTGGCCTACTCAAGATGTCAAGTCAGCAAGGGGCAGGGGTCAGGTTTGAACCCAGGCAGTCTGACTGCAGAATCCACCATCTCTGCCAGTGCGTAGGGTTGCTTATCCCAGGATCCTCTGAGGGCAGGCACCGTGCTGGGTGCTGGGGATGCAGTGCAGCTAAAACCAGGCTTATCCTTGCCCTTGGGGAGCTTATAGTAGTGGAATTGGTTGCATATTAATGAACCAAATGCAAGTGTGTAATCTTGGCAAGCATTACAGGGAGGAGAAGTACGTAGGGGCTTTGGCCTCATGAGGGGCCGCAGGAACTGGCATTTGCTGTGAGGTCTAAAGCAGGAGTAAAAGTGAACCAGGGGATGAAAGGAAAGAGGGTGGAGGGACCAGCACATGCAAAGGCTTATTATAGGAAAGAACTTGGGGAGAGTGAAGGGTGGAAGGAGGGCAAGGTGCCTGGAAGTGGAGCAGTGGGGAGGACTCATGGTGCTTGATGAGCTGTGGGCGGAAGGAAGGGTCAGGCCAAAGAATGTGTGGGCTGTGTTGAGGAGTTTTGATGTTATATATATATATATATATGTATATATATATATTTAATTAATGTATCTATTTATTTATTTTTGGCTGCGTTGGATCTTTGTTGCTGTGCACGGGCTTTTCTCTAGTTGCAGCGAGTGGGGGCTACTCTCTGTTGCTGCGCACGGGCTTCTCGTTGTGGTGGCTTCTCTTGTTGCAGAACACGGGCTCTAGGCATGCTGGCTTCCGTAGTTGTGGCACGTGGGCTCTAGAACGCAGGCTCAGTAGTTGTGGCACGCGGGCTCAGTAGTTGCGGCTCACAGGCTCTAGAGCGCAGCCTCAGTAGTTGTGGCGCACGAGCTCAGTAGTTGCGGCTCACGGGCTCTAGAGCGCAGCCTCAGTAGTTGTGGCACACGGGCTTAGTTGCTCCACGGCATGTGGGGTCTTCCCGGACCAGGGCTCGAACCCGTGTCCCCTGCATTGCCAGGCAGACTGCTAACCAGTGCACCATCAGGGAAGTCCTTGATGTTATCTTTAAAGCGACGAGGAGTTTTGTGGAAGGGGCGTCATGACAGAATTTGTGTTTACAAGACACTTTGGCTACAGTGTGGAAGACAGAGTCCAGGCGCCTGGAGTAGAGAGGAGGAGCCAGTTGGGAGGCAGGTGGAGTAGTGCAGGTGGGAGATGATGGCTATTTGGAGTATGGTGTGTTGGTGGAGAGAGAGAGGGGGCAGTGAAGGAATTTGAGAGTCACGGGGATGGGATGACAAGGAAGAGAGGACGACGGGTGAAGGATAAGCTTTTCTTTCTAATTATGCAACTGGATGCCTGATGGCCCATTTATGAGTCAGGGAACCAAGAACCAACAAGAAAACCATGGCTTTAATTTTGGACTTACTGAGTTTGAGGTATTATTGACAAACAGGCAAGGACAGAGCTGGCTTGAGATACACGTTCCTGCGTCACCTGCACTGAGGTTGTAATGACAGTGCTGAGGGAGAAAGCGGAGGGTGGCAAGAGGAGAGGGGCTAGCCTTGACCTTAGCGATTCTCGAAAGCTTAAAGCCCTTGTAGAGGAGGGTGAACCTGCAAAGGAGGCAGAGGGGCAGGAGGACAACCAGGACGATGCTGTATCACGAAAGGGAAGAGAGTGCTTTCGGATGAAGGGACTGTTCAAGAGCATCAAATGTGCTGTTGAGAGGCCAAGCAAGGCGTGACTGAAAACTGCTCATTGTGTTGAGCAACGTGAAGGTCATTGGTAACGTGAGAGAGCCGCTTTGTGGAGTGGAGTGATTGGAAGGCAGATGGTGGAGGAGGTTAAGAATAAGTGGGCAGTGGGGCTTCCCTGGTGGTGCAGTGGTTAAGAATCTGCCTGCCAATTCAGGGCACACGGGTTTGAGCCCTAGGTCCAGGAAGATCCCACATGCTGCGGAGCAGCTAAGCCCGTGTGCCACAACTACTGAGCCTGCGCTCTAGAGCCCGTGAGCCACAACTGCTGAAGCCCATGTGCCACAACTGCTGAGCCCGCGTGCCTAGAGCCCGTGCTCTGCAACAAGAGAAGCCACCGCAATGAGGGCCGCTCACCGCAATGAAGAGTAGCCCCTGCTCGCCGCAACTAGAGAAAAGCCCACGCACAACAACGAAGACCCAACACAGCCAAAAATAAATGAAATAAATAAATTTATATATAAAAAAAAGAGTAAGTGGGCAGTGACCACGTAAAGACAGAAGGATGGACAACTCCTTTGGGAATTTTGGCTCTGAAGGGCAGGAGAGAGACAGCAATGGGTAGAAGAAGGACTGAATAAAGTGATTTAGTTCTGCTGTTGTTTTAATGGGAAAGAGTTGAGCGTGGTTCAGAGTCAATGGACAGCCTCCAGTCAGCACTGAATGCACAGAAGAGAGGGGAAAACTGTATTGTTTAGATCCTGGGAAGGGCCGAATGGAAGCGTTCCTAATAGAGGTGGACAGAACAGCCGTTGACAGGAGGAGAAACACATCTGGCCCTTCGGGGGAGGATGTGGATAAGACATGTGCCTATGGAGGAAGTTTTGTACTTGGTGTCAGGAGGGCGGGGGAATGTGAGTGGATGACTCAAGATGTATCAGTAACTCATAAAACAAGAGCTCCTAGTGAGAGTGAGGTTTGAGGGAAGCACTGAGATTTGGGGAGGCCTGAAGGAGCTTTGAAATAGTCATTTTGAACTTTGAGAGAGAGAAAACTGATGGAGAATCCTAAGGGGATCCCGGGCAATTTGGGAGTAGGTCATCATGAGTTTAGAGTTAAGCCACAGAACCTGTTTTGTGATTTTCTCCAGTTACACTTGATTACCACCTAAAATGTGGAGTCAGCCACTTCAGTTTGCTAGGGCTGCTGTAACACAGTACCACAGATTGAGTGGCTTAAACAACAGAAATTTGTTTTCTCTCATTCTGGAGGCTGGAAGTCCAAGATCAAGGTGTCAGCGGGGTCGGTTCCTTCTGAGTTCTGTGAGGGAGGGATGTGTTCCAGGCCTCTCCCCTTGGCTTCTAGATGGCTGTCTTCTCCCTGTGTCTACACGTCTTCCCTCTGTATGTGTCTGTGACAAATTTCCTGTTCTTCCAAGGACACCCGTCATATTGGATTAGGGCCCACCCTAGTGATCTAATTGTAACCTGATCACCTCTGTAAAGACACTATCTCCATATATGGTTCTGTTCTGAGGTACTGGGGGGTTAGGATTTTAACATATGAATTTCTTTGTAGGGGGGTACAATTCAGTCCATAATACACACATACACTCAAGTTTTCAGCTAAGAGTATAAAAAGTAAAATTGTACCGGTGTTAATAAAGGGAAGGAAGCTGAGAAGGGGAGTCAGTTTATGAGGGAAAGGTGAAAGGGAAGAAGGGAATCAACTGTTTATGTCCAGGATGAGATGTCCAAGTGACCTGTTTGTTGACTGGCTACTAATACTGCAGATTTGGAAGAAGATAATGCAATGGGAAACACACCACACTTACAGTGATAGAATAGCCGGGAAACTCTATCCTGAACATTATGGTGACATGATTTATCATGGTCTCCAGTCTTTATTGTATGAGGAAGATGAGAGAGAGAGACACAGACAGACAGACAGACACACACCAACACCAGTGTGGCCACAGTTAGAACCCAGTGGACCAATTTTTACCCCATGCCTCTTCACTTTACCTTCAGTTTTACTTCTCTTTCAGTACGCCTGGGATACAAATGAAGAATATCTCTTCAAAGCGATGGTGGCTTTCTCCATGAGAAGAGTTCCCAACAGAGAAGCAACCGAGTAAGTAAGCAATGAAAAGTCTAAATTGATTGTTTGCAAGTATTATTTGAGACAGGACATTAATACAAAACTCAATCTTGAAAATAAGGTATACATCTAATTTTTAAGGGACCCATATTTTAATTCAACATTAAAAAGAACCTTTATAATCTAGCTCAGCTTACAGTTTATATCATGTTCTAACAATGCTCTTCATTCAATAGGCACTATGAAGATAAATATAAAAATTTGTAGTTACATGTCATAAGCTTTCTACATTTCTCTCTCTCTCTGTATATATATATTATATAAGTTGAAGTTATATATTATAAGTTGAAGATTAAGATGCTGACAAGGTAGATTTCATTCTGAGGCCTCTTCTTTCAGCTTGTAGGCAACACCAGATCTTTGTATGCTCACACGACCTCTTCTTTGTTGAGGGGGGAGTGGCAGGCGAGAGAGTGAGCATTCTGGTGCCTTTTTGGATGAGGGCGCTAATCCTCTCTATCAGGGCTCCACCATTATGACCTCATTTAACTGTAATTATCTCCTTATAGGCCCTATCTGCAAATATTAATACATTCACATTTGGGGTTAGGACTTCAACATATGAACTTGGGAGGCAAGGGGATAAGTGCATAGCACTCATTTTGAAAATAACTTACATATGTATAGGTTCATTGCACTGTTGGTATCTATCATAGCACCTTGTTTATTTTCTTCAAAGCCTTAGTACAACTTTTAATAGTTTTACATTTGAATCTGTTCTTCCGAAGGAATCTTCCCTATTTGTGATGTTTCCTTCCATCTCCATTTGTGATTAGGGTAACACTCCTGGTTTCTCTCTACTCCCTTACTTCACTCTTCCCTTGAGAGGTGAAATGACTGATTTGATTGATGGGCTGGAAGGATAAACTGGGCATGGGTTCGCTTCTCTTGAGGAGCCGGCCTGCCCTCAGCATGCATTTTTCTGTGCTGCCCCTCACACTGAGTACAGAATCAGGCCCTGCCTGGGCAAGCTTACACACCCACACAGCTGTCCGTGCTGTCTGTAGCTGTAGACTAGATTGGTAGGTGCCAGATCCTAAGGTGTTAAGTATCTTGCATATTACACCAGAATATGGTGATACCTGCCTCGGTTCAGCTCTGCCTGGGTCACTATAGATGAATTTATCTCATCGCAGGATATTTTTAAAATTAGGAAGGAAATTTGCCTTTTATTTTGGTCTCCTGTCTGCTTCATTCTTTTGTCTTAATTTTATTGAGAACTTGGCAGAGAGGGTTTCTATTTTTTGTCTTCCTCAGACCCACAATGTATTATGCATGGGCTGTGAATATAAGGGATAAAACAGAAGAGTAAAATTTGGGGGAGCAAAATAAACATATGATATGTGGATTTGCATGTACACAAACACACACATATATACACAACACACATATGTATTTTTTCACACATATGTATTTTAAGATATGTAACATATTCATATGATTCAAAAAATTAAAAGAAGGAGGTGTAAGGTAAAACAAAATGATGCCCTATGTGAACTTTACTCCTGTTTTATAGATTTTTAGAAAAGATATATTTGCCTTTATCTTATGCCTTTAAATGGAAGCATTCTTTCCAAAACGATTTATAATAACCTTTTAAAAATTAAAACGAGGGCTTCCCTGGTGGCGCAGTGGTTGAGAGTCTGCCTGCCGGTGCAGGGGACACGGGTTCGTGCCCCGGTCCGGGAGGATCCCACGTGCCGTGGAGCGGCTGGGCCCGTGAGCCATGGCTGCTGAGCCTGTGCGTCCGGAGCCTGTGCTCCGCAACGGGAGAGGCCACAACAGTTAGAGGCCCACGTACCACAAAAAAAAAAAAAAAAAAAAAATTAAAATGAGAAGATTGCCTTCCAAAAAATAAAAAAAGAAAAATATAAGGAGAAGAGGGAACCCATGTACTCCGTTGGTAGGGACGTAAATTGTACAGCCACTGTGGAGAACAGTATGGAGGTTTCTCAAAAAACTAAACATAGAACTACCATATGACCCCACAATTCCATTCCTGGGTATATATCAGAGAAAAAGAAAAACCCTAACTCAAAAAGATACATGCACCCCAATGTACACAGCAGTGTTATTTACAATAGCCAAGATATGGAAGCCACCTAAGTGTCCATCAACAGAAAGATGGATAAAGAAGATGTGGTGTACATATACACACACACACACACACACACACACACACATATCCACATATATACATATACATACAATGGAATACTACTCAACCAAAAAAATGAATGAAAATTTGCCATTTGCAACAATGCGGATGGACTTGGGAGGCTATTATGCTTAGTGAAATAATAAGACAAGTACTGTATGTTATCACTTATATGTGGAATCTAAAAAATAAAGTAGTGAGTATAACGAAAAGAAACACACTCAGATATAGAGAACAAGCTAGTGGTTCCCACTGGGGAGAGGGAAGGGGGAGGGGCAAGGTAGGGGTAGGGGGTTAAGAGGTACAAACTACTATATGTAAAATAAATAAGCTACAAGGATATATTATACAGCACAGAGAATATAGCCAGTATTTTATAATAGCTATAAATGGAGTTATAGCCTTTAAAATTGTGAATCACTGTGTTGTACACCTGAAACATATAATATTGTACATAAAACTATACCTCAATTTTCAAAAACGAAAGAAAAGAGAAAAATATAAGGAAAACAGCCGCTGGTCATCTCACAATGCTAGCCCCTCAACTAGTCTCTTTTTATCTTATTGTCATTTTTGATCAACAGATTTTATACATCGCTGTGTTCATTGTATTACATCCTCTTAGTACCTAAATTTCACCTTGTAAATGACTATGTTATATCACATTTCCATTCTTAGGAAAAGTTAATTTAAATATGTAACATTTCAGATTAGTTTTGAGGAATTCACTTTGGGAATTTGATTTTTCGGAACCCGGACATTGTAGGAGTCTGTGAATATGTAATCTGGTTTATTTGCAAAGGTGTTTTAATTGGAACTGGGTGCATAGGCTCTATAGAGGCTTTTGTTGCCAATGTCAGTTGAAAAATTGAAAAGCGCAAACCTAGATTGGGGTCAACAAATTGTTTTCCTGTAAATGCTCAGGCAGCTTGAGTCCCAGCAAGCAGTACTGCTCTCAGGGGGCTGAGGGATGAAGGCTGCCTCATGAATCAGGATGGGCTTAAGATGCAGTACAAGTGCTGCCCCCTAACGGTGGCTGCTTCTTTACATGAGCAGGTTTCCTCTATGGGAAAGGGCACCACACAATGCAAGATGAATTGAAAACAACTTCCCATACAGGCTGCCTCTCCCGAGTGTGGTGGGTAATAGAAAGGCACCACTAGCTTGGCAAATGGATCCGATTTTAAATGTGCTTTTCAGAGGTCTTTTGGTGCCAGTGTGAGGCAGAGTGGATTCTAGAGGGTGGGAAGTATGCCTGTTAGGATGGCTTTAGGGATTCAAATCTTGAACATTGGCCATTGTTTTAAATCGTTTTTTTCCTATCCTGTCACTGCTTATTCTATGGATACTGCAGAAAACTTAGAGCTACTGAGATGCACTGCGTGGAAGATGTAAAGAGTAACTCACTACAGATAGTCAAATAATGAACAGAGTAATGAATACTCTTCGTCCCACCTTTCACTCAGTCCTAACTATGGTATCTCATATCAAGAGCGATCACCTCCAGTGACACAGGGCTCAGTGTCTCCTCTGCATATTTGGGAACGTACCACCAGCCTACCCTTGACCCAGTATAAGCTGGATTGACTCTGCCAGAGGGTGTTCTTTCTAAAGTGAGGTCCTGGCCACATCCATGAAGGACTTGCAGGAGAGCTGAACGGGTCCAGTCACCATGACCCCAAGCGGGCAGTGGAAGAGAAGGTCGAGGGTCCGAGAGGCAGAGGGCGAGGCCCTGCAGGGAGGGTGCAGCGTGTCCACGGCCTTCCCAGCAGGACAGGGGCGGGGATGGGTCCCGGTGCGGGTGTACCACGCAGCCCGCTGGGAGCTGACAGCTGGGTCCATGTGATGGGCGTCCACTAGCGCCCAGGCCACACTAGTGGCCCCCTTGCGTGTTCCCCTGCCCACCTCAGGTCAGGCAGAGCTGCTAGTAGAGAGAGGAGTCGTCTGCAAGAGGAGAGAGGGGCACATCACTCCCCAGCTTGCAGACGTTCCCAGGGCCACTTCCAGCTGCCACCAGAGTAGCAGCACCTGGAGCGCGAGCCACCGTGATGGTGTCCCCAGCCACTGAGACTGTCCCGTGGGTGGAACAGAAACTGGCGCCTGCCTCTTAGCTGCAGAAGTCTGAAGGCAAAGGCTGGCTTGAGCCTCCATGGCTGGGTGAGAGAGGGCGGCTTTGCCAACAGCCTGCACTGGGATGGCTGCCCGCCCGGAGCCAAGCAGAGGCCTCCGGAGGGAGCTGCACGAGTCGCTGCCTGTGGGGCCCGAGATCCAAGTGCAGGGCAAAGGGAAGGCGGCAGAGCGGGCAGGGAGGGGCGAGATGGAAGCCTTCGGCCCTGGCCAGAGTGCGTCGTCCTTGTCAGGGGACGGGGCAGTGCACAGGTCCCCAGACGGTCTCCTGAGGCCCCCCGGGTGCACTCTGGGTGGAGAACGCTAGGACCCGCCCCGGCAGGGGCCACCAGCGGCCAGAGGGCAGCACAAGGAGCCTGGCTAGGGAAAAAGGAGCTTACCTTTTTCTCTGCTGTCGGATCCCCGCGCTCTCCCACCTCCCTTTTCCATCCCCCGGTGAGCGGGACTGCGGGGAGGTAAGGGGCGAAGCGCAGGAGGGGTGGAGCCAGGAGAGTAAAAGAACAGAGCAGGCCGCTGAGGCCAGCACGGCCGGGGCGAGGGAAGCCGTGTGTTAGGAAGACAGTTCGTCTAGGTTTTGATCAGACCAGACCGGCCTGAGCTCTTTAAGGGCCAGAAGTGACAGGCAAGCTCCATCGCGCCCCCTCGAGGTGCTGTCAGGGAGTGAGGGAGAGAAAGAGCTGACAGAGCG